TTATATTCAATAACAAAAATAATCAAAAAAAATATATATTTTTTTATTTATTTAATTCAAAATGGATATATGACAGTATTCTAGTACAGATAAACTAAATAATTCTATTATCGAATCAAGGGCAGCAATTTTTGTCTATGTACGTAAAATATAAATAAATGCTTAAATACTATTTCACACAATAATTAATTAGAATAAATTAATACGTAATTAGCTTCTACCCGACTGAAATTACAAAGAAATAGCAACACCTCCATCAACGTGGAATTTCGGCCACTTACCTGAACTTATGTCGCGTATAAATTCAAAACAACACAGCAACACAAAAAACAAGCGAACCATTTTCTCAATTGCCCAACTTCACCTTTTTAATTTCGATAGAGAAGTAAACTCTTTGGTCTATGCCAGTATCGAACTAAATTTGAACCTTTATATTGCTTCATTTATATGCAGGTAAACTTCGGGAATTTTTATTTATTCATTAACCCTTTGGTTTTCCCATATTGTCACCATTTGGGTGGTAGAAATAGATCATGATTTGCTAGCCATTAGGGCTGTGCGTAATCCTTTAATATCATATTGTGTACTTAAATTAATAATCAGATAACTGAGAACGATGGTATATGATTGAATTAGTGATAATTACAGATTTTACAATCTTTTCAACCACTATAAAAAAAATATAAAAGATGTTCAAATTTTAACTTTTTAAATTTGCCGCCATTTGTGTTTTTTGTACTATAATGGTTTTGGTTTTTTGTCAGCTGTTAAGTAGAAACATGGCAATTAATATATGTGGAGAAGGATACAACTGAAGAATGCGTCTTTATTTTCAAAAATTATTGTTTTCGTCAAGAACTTGATACACAAAATAATACCTTTAAATTAATTTCAAAATTATGTAAATTTCATGGTTTAGCAATAAAAAATGATAAAACAAAATACACAATTTTTAATGTAGAAGGAAAAAAATTAATGTATTTGCTTCTCTGTAAACGAACTGGCCAGCAAATTTAAATTGTCTAGCATCAAACACCATGAATAGAGACTGCTAGGCAAGTAAAAAAATAAACTTCTTTCCTTGTTATTTAAAATGTAGAATTATTTCTAGAACATTTATTTACTTTTCTTCTAAATGCGCCACTTGCTGATTCAAATTTGTTTTGTAGAATGGTTTGTCAATGTAATTTTCAGTCAAACTAAACGTTTTTCTCTTGTAATTTGTATATTAGTATTTTTGTTTTACAATTGATAATATCATTACATAATAACTATATTATAGTTATACAGCTATTTGCTCTTACAAGTGAAGTTGTCTCAAAGTATCTTTTAATATAATAGTTTTATAAGTTGTCGACCCACATCTAAAAAACAATTATATTATTTATTTATAGCCCGGTTAGAAATACTATATAACTTTACTAAAAAGTTATAAAATACTTTAGTTTTATTAGCTTGAATGTTTTATAAGCTTGTCACAGAAACATGTATATAATAGTTATATATTTACCATATTAGCTGTTTTATAATTTAGCTGCCAAAATGTTCTTGTGATAAATTTATAAAATATTCAGTGCTGACAACAAAATAATGATAGTTGCCGTTTATTATAATAAAACAAATTTGCATTTCGAAAACAATAATAATAATACAATAAAACATAATTGTCGTATAACCTAAAAATTATAAAACTGTTTTGCTGGTTGGGTTGTGAAATTGGAAGAAAATATCGTACAAAATATGGAAAAACAAATTGTCCAACAAACAGCGCAATTCGAAATGAAATATTGTGAATAAATTTGAAGAAACTGGTTCAATTCAAGATCAAAGAAGTAAAATTTAGTCGTACTAGTCGTTCACAAGAAACTATTGCAGCTGTCAATGATAGTGTCACTGCAGAATCATACACATCAATTGTTCACAGCAATTAGGCACTAAACAGACCGCTTTATTCAGTATTTTGTAAAAGGGTATTCACTTAAAGGCTTACAAAATGCCATTAACACAAAAGTTATTTACAACTGATCATATAACAACACCATCTTTCGTGATGGAACTCATTTTGAAATTGCTGGATACGTAAACAAACAAAATTTTATCACTTATCTGATATTCTTTTCTCTTATTAACCACAACTTGTCTACTTTAATATTCTGCAAACTAGTTAGTTATTTCGAATAAATTATGTGTTTCATTAAAAAATTAATTCAAATTTGAACAACCTCTATGTTATGGTATACTGGATTTATATGACATTGTCGTAACTTCACCTTCATATTTATGTAAACGATAATAATGAAAAATATGTTTTTCTAACAAATATTCCATATTTTTTTATAAACTTTTTTTTCTTAATACGATTAAATGCTTTTATATAAATTTACCTTTTATTCTTGTTTGTTCAGTTTATTAGAACATTCTTAAATTAATAAAAAATAAAATCCTAAAAGTTTAATTACTTCCATTAACTTTATTTTTGGAAAACGATACAATAGGTAAATGATTATTCGTTAGACTTATCATTTTCGTCACTAAAACAGTCGCATTTCTCTTTTTCTTCAATTGAATTNGGAAGAAAATATCGTACAAAATATGGAAAAACAAATTGTCCAACAAACAGCGCAATTCGAAATGAAATATTGTGAATAAATTTGAAGAAACTGGTTTAATTCAAGATCAAAGAAGTAAAATTTAGTCGTACTAGTCGTTCACAAGAAACTATTGCAGCTGTCAATGATAGTGTCACTGCAGAATCATACACATCAATTGTTCACAGCAATTAGGCACTAAACAGACCGCTTTATTCAGTATTTTGTAAAAGGGTATTCACTTAAAGGCTTACAAAATGCAATTAACACAAAAGTTATTGCCAACTGATCATATAACAACACCATCTTTCGTGATGGAATTCATTTTGAAATTGCTGGATACGTAAACAAACAAAATTTTCGTATTGGGGGTGAAGAAAACCCACGAGTAATATTGGAACAATAAATGCATCTACAAAAAGTAACTGTTATGTGTATGGTATTTGGTCTTTGGTCCATACTACTTCTAAAATGATAATGGAAACTTTATTACTGTGAATGTGTGTGCAACATATCATACAACAACAAAAACAATTTATCTTTTGAAACAGAAAATTGATATTCAAATAATTTCTTGAAGAGAAGATATTAATTGTCCACCAAGATCATACGATCTATCACCATTACACTTCTTTTTATGGGAGAGCAAAGTTTATGCTGACAATCCTCAAACTATTTAACATCTGAAAAAAATATCTGAGCAAATCTCTCAAATTGAACCACTATTATGATGTAAAAATTTGCTGAAACATTGAACACTTATAGAGCTTCAAGAGGTGGTCACTTATCTGATATTCTTTTCTCTTATTAACCACAACTTGTCTACTTTAATATTCTGCAAACTAGTTAGTTATTTCGAATAAATTATGTGTTTCATTAAAAAATTAATTCAAATTTGAACAACCTCTATGTTATGGTATACTGGATTTATATGACATTGTCGTAACTTCACCTTCATATTTATGTAAACGATAATAATGAAAAATATGTTTTTCTAACAAATATTCCATATTTTTTTATAAACTTTTTTTTCTTAATACGATTAAATGCTTTTATATAAATTTACCTTTTATACTTGTTTGTTCAGTTTATTAGAATATTCTTAAATTAATACAAAATAAAATCCTAAAAGTTTAATTACTTCCATTAACTTTATTTTTGGAAAACGATACAATAGGTAAATGATTATTCGTTAGACTTATCATTTTCATCACTAAAACAGTCGCATTTCTCTTTTTCTTCAATTGAATTTTCGCTCTCTTTGCTCCCATCAGTGTCATCAGATGACTTCCTTGTAAAATTTTCGTCGATGAATGCTTGAATGGCTTCATCTTTCATTTCTACCAGCGATAAGTCACTTATACTCATCTTTCTATTCTTTGTCGGTCCATACTCCCTGTGCAATTCCTTAATTAACTCTTCTCTAGTTTTGGGAAATTTGACCTAAAATACCAAATAGAATTTGAAAAAGTTACCCATATTATAAAATTTGTATATGAAGGCGACATTTTATTTCTAGACCAGTCAGAATAAGACGCTCATATATATTTTTCTAAAATATTAAACATACGAGTATGTTTTACTCTCGACAGGGAAAGATATCTTTTACATTACTTTAATTTTATTACCTGACTTTGTCTTTCAAACAATGTTGGTTGCTGATTGACTCTACCCAACATCATCTCCATTCTCATCCTATGCTCTTCATTTCGTAACCTTTCCTCGTCCTTCCTCAGCTGCAGCCTCATGGCTAAATCTTCTTCATGGCTGTACGCCAATGCCTGCCATACTGGTTTCTTTCTCATCAGTTTCTCCCTCCACCTTGCTTCTTCCTTCAGTTTGGCTTCCTCCAACTTCTTCATCATATCCATTTCCAACCGTTGCCTAAACATAATAAAATTAGAAGGATTATTAACACTTTCATAGGTAAGATTATTGATAGTGAACGAAAATTGATATATATGTATGGAAAAAATGTATTACCTACATTTGGACATGGCACTACATTTTATTTCTGTATCATGCAAAACAAACATTATGTAATAAGAGTATGAAAATGTAGTGTTTTATTTTTTTATTGCAGCTAAAATGATTTTGTGAACCTTGCTGATTGTATTCTCAAAACAGCAGCCAGGTTGGACCTATTAAGTGATTGGAAATCTAGAGAAGATGGCGTCCTTGTAGAAGAGCTCTTACTGCTTGCGGAAGAATTTCTATAGTGCCTTTTTCCCTAAAACAAATGAAATCAGTGACTATTAAACCAAATGTAGTCTGGTTAACTTCTGCTTCTACAAAAACCAGTTGACAGACTTCTAGATAGTATCAATTAAGAAAGTCCTTGAGGAAAATTTCCTCCACATAAACTGTAGATAGCGATGAACTGATAGGTACTATTAGAAATGAGCTAAAATCTGTTTGAAGACACATTTGGATTATGCAATTTGTTACATTCAAATCATAAATTCTCAATGGAAAAAAATTATTCAACTGACTTTAGGTCTAAATCTTTTGGTTTAAGTTTTATTCTTTGGAACAGTCAAAAACTATTGGATCTCATTTGTCTTCAGCGTCATCTACATTATGCTTTGGAAAAATTCTGCTTGAGATCTTAATTGATATTATTGAGTAGGTCTGCACATATAAAATTTTATGTAAAACTACACATTTGACCATTGGTTATTTTGATGTCATAAAAATAAGCCCCTACGTATTATTTTCCTATTACAGTAGACTTACTCTTTTTGAAGTTTTTAATTTAAATGGCCTAGGACTAGTAGATATAAACTCATTTTTCAGTTCCTCCAACTGCTTTTCAAATTGGTCATGATAAGCTTTGTAATTTGGAATATTTTTGGGCTTCTTTGGCGACTTTTCCTCCTTATTTAAATCTCGAAATGACCGAGGGCAGACGTCCATTTTCGGCTTAGTTTTCGCTCTCTTCGCCATAGAAGGGGGCAATGAAGCTGCTTTTAGCATTTCTTCTGCTCTTATTTTTTTCTGAATAGCTCTAAAATAATGATTAAATAAACCAGGAAAATTAGCGAAAATAAAAGAGAAACTCGAAAAAGTAGTAAGCTTGTAGGGAGTAAAATTATCTACAAAATGAGACTTGTTATTTTGCAATATCTCCGCTTGTATTCATCGTAGAAACTTCTTTTTTTTAAAACTGGGATAGCTCGACGAAAAAATAACAATGGGCATATTTACGAATTCGTAGAATAGCCCTGAACCCCAGAAAAATGCATCTTTTATACTTTTTTAAACAAA